ATTTTAACTTATAGGAGTTATCATTTTTTTCATAACATCAAATGATTTTCGAAAAAGCGGGGTTTTACTCAAAAGCGAGGGAAGTTCTATAGAAATAACTTTCAACACAATTCTCTTCCACAACTGGCGTTTTACAACAATTCAGTAAGCAGTACCTACGTAAAAATTACAAATATCGACAAATTGTTTTTACAATATTACAAATATTGTAATAAAGTGAATATTGTGTAATATTAATGAGGATTAGATAACAAGTAAAAACACTCATTCTCGAACAATTATCATAAAATACGCCAGAATTCCCACCGTTTATGGTTTTTGAAAAGCCTTTACGTCATTACTAAACGATTTAAAAGTAGACGTAAGCTTAAAAGCACGCCATCGCAGACCACGAACTATTATTATTATTTTGTTATCTAATTGTCTATTTATAAATTTTACGTCTGCTAATTGTTCAACACCAAAATTAACCGTAAATTAAACTAATACGTCCAATTATGGTTTAACATACCTGAATTAAATTAGGTGATCTGAAAACTCAATTTATTTTATAATAAATCGTCACCTTAGAACTGGTTTGCCGCATATCCAGATCGCGTCCGAGGGATTTTCGCCTCTACTGTTTGGTGCAGATTTGCCGCATGTCGCACTCGGGCGAAGCGAAACATAGTTTAGATTCAGTGCTGATTTGCCGCATGTCCAAGCAGAAATCGATACAGTACCGTTATCCGTTTTTACGTACTTCATTGCTGTTTTGCTTTTCAGCGTTAGGTTTGGGGTTGGGAAAGAAATCGTATTCAACTTCACGCGCAGAACAATAAGAAAAATGCAAAATAAATAAAAAAGAGACTTAACAATTTTGATGAATCTGAAATTAAAAAAAAGCAACTGTAATTTGTGCAACTCTTTTTCTGTTATAGATGTTACAAATATTTTCAAATTACATATTAGATTCGAAATTTTACAAATTTAAATTTCAAATAGATTTGTTGTTCGATAAACAAATAATTTAATTTTTTACTAAACAGTAATATTTTTCTTTAATTTTTTCTCGGGAATGATTGAACTTATTTTCTCTAAAGTTTTAGTGAACAAGATTTATAACGCTGCATACCAGTAAAAGAGTTCACAATTTTTTGTAGTATTCTTATTTGTAGAAACGATATTTCTACATCAATAATCACAAATAATAGATACATTTTTAATTTTTTAGATTAAAATGTTGTAAAAGTAATATGAAAATTAAAATTTCGAAGCAAAATCTGTTTAGGTGGATTTTGCTTCGAAATTTATTACTGGAACGTTTACAAAAATCAGCTTTTGACATAAAATGCTTGCAAATTTGAAACAGAATTGGAATGTTTCTTGACAATCATGCCTAATACATTTTTGACTTGTATCTTTTAAAAAGAATTATTTCCGAATTTATAGCTATTTACAATTTACGACTTACTTCAAGAATAAATTCCGTATTAGAATTTTACCTATAATAACTAAATAGATGTATGTTGTTAACTTATATAAGGTACCTTACATCGAAACGAGTAATTTGTTTTTTAATATGACATTGCCTTTCTTTATCATTCTATTTGTCTAACAATTAATGTTGTGCAATTATACGCGTGTAAATAAAAATAACTTTACAATAACTTATTTAAGGGTAAATTTTTTTACCAATTAATTTAAGTGGATGGTTATATGTAATGGTAATAATAGCCGCATAAAATTCACTCACTGCTTAGGTGTACCAGATATCAAAAGCTATTAAATCCAAATGTTGTGGTTTATTTTTTTTTATGTCTCGAGCGTAAGCTAAGGAAGTATTGTAATCAAGTTCATCGGGCGACTGGCTACTTTTATGGCTTCTCAACGTTTCATGACTCCTATAATACGAAAACATAGGTCTCTCGTTTCCGGTTGATAAAACGCTGACCAACATTTGTAATCATCCTCCCCATCATATAACGTCATCTCCAACTTTTACAGCAATAAATGTTATATAATTTTTAAAAATAACATACTTTTTCATTTGTTGTTTATTGAGTTTTTACCGTAAGCAGCCAGATTGAATTAAATTACCATAACCCTAATTTCTTGAGATTTTGGAAACAGGATATACTACATAAAGAAAGTTAAAAGAATTTGAAGTAATGTAATGATACTCTTTTTACATCAACATACTATTATTTATCAATTAATTGGGCATCGTCCAAAATACTGTTCATAAATTATAAGTGCAGGAAGTTTATGCAAAAGCATGCAAATACATTTTTTGCGGATAATAATATGTATTGCTTTATTATTAAATATCTACTCATTTACAAGAATTATTAAAATTAGTAAAAAAAAGTATTCAAGTCTCTGTCTATTTTAATACCTTACCTTATTAAAATAATAAGTTTAATCAATTATGTAGTTAGCAAACAATGACGTTTAATTTATACTTAGTAGGGTTCACGACATTAACTTTTCACATTGCATGTTTAATTCGGAGTTATAATTTGAGAATATAATTTACCCGTTTATTTATTTTTGTAGTTTAGTAGTACTTCAGCAAATTTAGAAAACTGTATGTTATTTAAAAATACGTGACAAATCACGAGGCCAGGCAATCTAGAGATTTGACTGCTGGTTTGCGCGGGAAATACTGCATACTTTTTAGATAAAAGGAGTCTATGATAAGCGCACGTAGGAGATGATAGACAGAGAGCTAATATATAGAGCTAATGTATTGGAAAGAAATAGGATAAGTTTACGTGCGCACACCACAGCCTCCCTTTCTTCTCTAAACAGTTTGGGATCATACCATAGTATCATAAATAATAATTGACAAAGAGTTCGCAAAGGAATCCAACGGAAATATTTATACAATTGTTTACAACTACCAGTACAAATAATTCTTTCATTTTCAACTGAAAAGCGTATAACTATATTAAGTACTAGATATTATGGAGTTAGGGGTAATCAAATAGATTTGGGTTGCAGTCAACATAATTGTCACTGATACATAAGACATGGGAACGAATGATTTATTTCCAAATCCAAATATACTGCATTTACAGTTTTAAACAGTATCGCTGCTAATTTTCTCTGGTTGCCCGACAATAGCTACTTGTAGTCAATATCCACGTAATGTAATAAAATACTGGAATGTAATTGTTTGAGACAACAACCTATTTTTACCCGAGTGTTCTTTATGAATTTGAATATTTTATATAAAAAAATTACATATTAAGCTGCAATTTTAGTAGGACTGCAGCGAGTCAACGAGCCGCCATTACTCCGCCAATGCAAAGAAAATATCACTTTATTATCCTTTGTAAAAATAATTTCTTTCTGTAAAACACATTTAAATTTGGTACTCCGTATTTCGTTCACAATTCACCATTTAACAATGGAAATTAACAATGCAATATTTGGATTCTACAATTTTTAGGTAAAATGAATGACTGCAATGAGTTTTATCAAATGTAGATTTTATATAAAAATAAAGAAAAATAAGTCTCTTTATTTTAAAAATATTTAGAAAAAATCGAATCAAAACATCAATAACTTAACATTCATTGTTCGTTATACTTAGTTAACTACTTCGCCACCTTAGAACTGGTTTGCCGCATATCCAGATCGCGTCCGAGGGATTTTCGCCTCTACTGTTTGGTGCAGATTTGCCGCATGTCGCACTTGGGCGAAGCGAAACATAGTTTAGTTTCAGTGTTGATTTGCCGCATGTCCAAGCAGAAATCGATAGAGTACCGTTATCCGTTTTTACGTACCTACTTCCTTGCTGTTTTGCTTTTCAGCGTTAGATTTGGGGTTGGGAAAGAAATCGTATTCAACTTCACGCGCAGAACAATAAGAATAATGTGAAATAAATAAAAAAGAGACTTAACAATTTTGATGAGTCTGAAATTAAAAAAAAGCAACTGTAATTTGTGCAACTCTTTTTCTGTTGTTATAGATGTTACAAATATTTTCGATTTTTTTTTTTAAGAAAGATTGAGTTTGAAATTATTAGATTCGAAATTTTACAAATTTAAATTTCAAATAGATTTGTTGCTAGTAAACAAATAATTTAATTTTTTACTTAAGAGTAACATTTTTATTTAATGATTTCTCGGAAATGATTGAACTTATTTTCTCTAAAATTTTAGTCAACAAAATTCATAATGCTGCATACCTGTATTCTTATTTGTGGGAATGATATTTCCACATCAATAATTACAGATAATAATAGATACATTTTTCAGAGATAATTAAGATTAAGATTTCTTAATCAACTTCACGCGCAGAACAAGTAATACGGCAAGGATTAATAATGTGAAATAAATGAAAAATTGAAACGATATTAGAAATCGCGTGATGACTTAAATAAACCACCAATTGTTATTTTCTTAAATATAGAAAACATAAGTATTAAACTTGTCAGTGTTGTTTACACTTATTTCGTCTGCTGCAAGGGTCTGTACCTACTAGGTACAAATGCTCCTAATACTTATCTTAAGTATGCTTGAATTCAGGAACACCCCCTCATTACATGCATGTTTTAACATACTCTTACTTATTTTACTTCGATGATGATACTTTATAGCGAGTTATTTCTTTATTCAAATATTGATGGCGCCTTTTTGTCGGACCTAAAGACGAGTTTGTTTTAATACTCCCTATCAATAATGTGTGAAATTAAATTTCCTTCGCATTTCTACGTGGTTTTTAAAATTGAATGGCATTATTGCCTAACCATGAATATCAGTAGATAAGGCACATAATATGCTTCGTTTCATCTCGACGGCCATCAAATTCTCCAAATCAGCGGAGTCCCTTGAGACGTAACGTTAGATCAACGACAAACAGTACTAGGCGATAGTTGACACGAACTAATGCGTTATTACTGGATCAGAGAAGCCATGAAATGTATACGATGTTATTATGATAAACATCATTTTAAATAAATTTGAAAAATTCTCTTGTGTATTAGCCACATGTTGTTATAAGCGGTAATGGTCAAAATCGTGCGTCAGTTAGACGTGCGGTTTGGCACCGAGATAGATGTTTTAAGTGTCCCAACGTTGTCTAGTAATTTTTAGTGTGAGTACCCTTCTTCTGATAACGTTTTGTGATGGTATTTAATGGCAATGCATTTTTGTTTTGCATGTTCATTCGCAACGACTTCTGTATGTAATCTAAAGACACATTAGTGTCTGAACACATAAGACTCATTTCCTCCGGATAAAACGCGATAAATTTACGCCTCCTCTTATTTCTAAATTTGCTGATATTTTTTTAACAATAATTTACATTTTTATAGTCGTGCGGAATTGTGTGTTGGCAAATTTATTCAAGTGTCATGTGAAAAACGGTGAACTTGTAGGTATTATTTTTAATGTTAAGGTATTCCTATTCACGTAGTATGCAGTTGTACAAAGTGTTATATGTTCACTATATCTCTTCACAGCTATATTTTAAAAAGCGTGAGTTAAAAAATAGGTTATGTTGTAGAAAAGGCATCCTATTTTAAGACAGTTTTTATATTTCGTACAAAATAATCTTTTTATTTTTTACTTGCTATTTATAAAACACTTTGAAAAAATATTTACAGTGTTGTGTCCAAGTTAAAAAATTGCTTATTTTATGCATGATATAACTTTTTCAACAGAAGTTCTACAAAAAGGAATTACACCTAATATACAGGTGAAACAACTTCTTTAGGGCTATATTTTTTTAATGTACAGATTCTTTCAATTTGAACCCGCAGTAGGTTAATAAATTAAAAACAAAATCATTATCACCCCTAAGAAAAAAAAACTGATTTTATCTGTGTAATTACCAAAAATATTCTACAGTCGGTTAAGTACTTATATTTTTTTATATTTTTTCTAAAACAGCCCAGTATCTAGTAAGATATAATTACTGTTACTTATCCTAGCTAAAATAAAATTCGTTAACTGATGGTTTTACATACCGACCGTAAGCTAAGGAAGTAAAGGAAGTATTGTAATATTGTCCATCGGGCTACTAGCTACTTTCATGTTTTCTTGACGTTTCATGACCCCTAGTCTGTCTGTCTACGTGAATGTCTGTTATCTGCCTCTTGGCGTGTCGATTTGTCAAATTTTATGTGGGTGTTATCATGCAGATGGCAAAAGATTATCCTAAATGTGTTTGATCATCCCCACCAACAATGGGATGACATCATCTCCAAATTGTGCAATAGTAAATGTTATTTAAATCGAAATCATATATAGTTTTCCTAGTAAAGAATCGGTTTTATGATGTGTAAAAGATAAATTCCTTAACAATAGATTACTACAGTCGGTGGCAGTCATAAATAAGGATTTAACCAATATATAGTATAATGGTAACGGCATGGTTAAATCCTTATTTATGACTGGCCCAGCACCCGCAGTAGTAATCTATTGTTAAGGAAGTTAACTTTTACACAATGGAGTATTATCATAAAACCGAATTAGAACTGGGGAAACCATAATAACAATGCACAATTTAACTTTAAAATTGCAAAACTGAATGCTCTGAAATCTTGCAAATTTTTAGGGTTATCGGAAACATGATAAATCATTAATCGAAATGAATTGGTTTATCCTACCCCAAAGGCCAATTTATGCCCGCATTTGGGTACTTTTTATTTCGTTCGATTTAATTTTAACCAATGTTTTTAATCAGAGAAGAGAATGGAAATGGAAAATATTACGTTATTAGGTATTTCTAGTTAGTTCTAGTATAAGTCAATAAAAAATTATTTTTACTCGATGACACCGCTTTTAAATAAAAAACAGTTTCGTCTATTCCTTATTCTGAGAATATTTTTACGTATCGAGAGTAAACTAGAGAAGAATTGTAGTAGGGTCTCCATGACGACTGGTTAATTTAATCTTTTTTTTGACGTTTTATAATCCTTAGAGGATGAACAAGTAGAGCTACAGTTCCTGTATTTTGTCGTGTATCGCCTTCTCTGTCCGTGCTCACGATTTTATTAGATAAGTAATTCCGAAGTTAGTAGAACATTTATGGTTGTGAAATTTTAGCTGTATTTTACAAATGTCGTGTCGATGGTAAAACGTTAACAACTAACCACAATTTCTGTGATTATTCCCACCAACAATTTCATAATGTTGTCTCAACATTTTGAAAAGAAAATTCTACCTAAATATTACAAAATAAATAAAAAATAATTCAATTTGGCAGGTATGAAACCGACAAGTCTGAAATTCTGAAAAAGTATTTAGTTTGTCGTAAAGTACGTTTATTTTTTTAAAGTCGACCAAACGTCCCAGCTCTCCCGACGATATGTATCTGCGATTTTTTAGCGAAAAGTTAGGTAAAGTTAATTGCTTTGTGACATTTGGAAGCGTGGTACCTTCTAGTTTTAAAATCTGTGATTAGAAGATTTTCATTAGTCTTGATACCAGACCCATTTTTTCTGCGAGAATGTTTAAATTTTGAATTTTCTTGTACAAAAATTATTAGATGAATAGGAAAAATGTTATGTTACCAACACAAAGCAACAGGAGATGAAATTTTAATAAAAAAACTTTTTATTGATCTCTTCCAAAAGCTTGATGACGCCATTTCAAAATTTTGTTTACTTAATCAAATTTTGCGATTGAACTGTGAAATTTTTAAATCGAATGCTCTGAAGCCTTACAAACTTTTTTAGATTACCGTAGGTATGGTAAATCATTAATTAAATGATACCCATTGGAAAAGGAAGAAAATATAACAAAAATAAAGGGAAAAATAATTTACGGGCGATCTGAGGTCCGGAAGGGGAAGAGGGTGAGCTTTAAGGGTAGAAAACGGTTTATCACGATTTCCGGCAAAACTACAAATCCTATCCCAACAAGTTTGGCAAAGTTGTAGGTAATAAAAAGATCTACAACTTTTGTGTTTACTCTTTCTTTACATAACCGCAAAATTTGTGCGAAAAATGCAAATAACCGAGTTTTTGGTTTTTTATTTTTATTTCCCACAATTTTTTTTTTTTAACGAAATTTGGTGAAAACTATTTATGTCCCAAACTCACTGTAATTTTTTTGATTCAAAATATTTATTTTTTTCCCTTATTTTGATTTAATATCGAAAAACCACCCTAATTTTCAATCGAAAATTCTCACGTCAAAATATTTGCTTTTTTCAAAAGATCGGTGTGCTTTTTGTTCTCTGAAATCTCTACTTTGTGAAGGTGTAAAAAAATTGTACATTATTATGGCAATTTTTCACAGAAAATGCAAAAAAACGAAAAAACTTGAATTCAAAAATTTGTTTTTTAATTATTATGAAACATTTGGAGCTATTTGTTAAAATGTACACGTTAATTACTCGAAAAACGTAAGATTCCATGTTACATTGATAAATTAAAAAATTGCAAATCGAAATATACTACTATAATTAACAACCAAATAAGTTAATACACATAATACTTTATATTTTGTTAAAGTTGTAGGATAATTTTTAAATTATATGCATAGGTGCCTATTTATTGCTATTTTAAGATAACTTACATACCTGAATGGCCTACGGAAAATTTTAGCCCATCAAAAGAATGAACAACATCGTCGATAAAAATACACGTGCAGGCTGAGTTACTTGAAGAGAATCGTGACGAATTGACTTATTTAAAAGAAACTTTTGGAATCTACAGTCACAAGGATTTTCCTGTAAACAAGCAGAAGAAGATGCTGATGCTGACATACTTAAGATCTCGATAGAAACTGCCAGAGATACTAAGAAAACTGTCATAGTTGTGGGTCAAGATATTTTGGTCGTTTTGAATCAATTGAATTCAAATAATTATGACATTGAATTTCTCAAACCAGGTTCTGGAAATGTAAAAGATCTATTTTTCACGTGCAATAGTTTCAACTATGAATCTTTCAAAAATATCCTTGCTTTTTTGTATCGTTTTTCTGGTTGCGATACGACATCTGGGTTAGCCGGAAAAGGAAAGAAAAACGTCGTAAATTCATTGTCTTCTAATATATAAAATTCTTAGGTAGGTCTGAAAATAGGTCATAAACTATTCTTTATACCCCTAGGTGATAAGGGTGGCCCACCCATTTTTTTTTTAATTTTTCGGACAAAATTTATTATTTTTATTTTTTTAAGATTTGGCTTCAAAAAAACACATATAACCCTAAATTTTTAACCTTCTACCACCAACCCCCATTTTGTAGTAACGATATAAGTATCTTTACTTCCATCCACGGATACGCAAGGCAGGGTTCAAGATGGCTGTTGAATATAATCATCGTAATTACAATCTATTTATTTATTTTCATTTATTTTTTTATTTAACTACTAAAATATTTACTAGAAATAATTTATATGGCAAAATAACGTTTGCTGGGTCTGCTAGTTAGACGATAAAAATTTGTCAAATTTGGCCAATATTTTTTATAAAAAACATGCAAACAAAGAAGATATCGCAAAAAATGGATTACAATTAATCAAATATATTTATAAATGTAAAAATGACAATATAACACTGAATCAATTAAGATTTCGAAAATCAATTGGCAAGAATTAAATCATTTTTCGTATTGACAAATCTCCCACCGACAGAAGGCGTTTATTTCATGGATTTTCAATTTTTTGGTTTATCAATGTAACATGGAATCTTACTTTTTTCGAGTAATTAAAGTGTAAATTTTAATAAATAGCTCAAAATTTTACATGATTAAAAAAAAATTCGAATTCGAGTTTTACGTTTTTTTTTGGATTTCCTGTGAAAATTTGCCATAGTAATGTATACTTTTTTTTACACCGTCAGAAAGTAGAGATTTCAACGAACAAAAAGCACACCGATTTTTTTAAAAAAGCAAACATTTTGAAGTGAGAATTTTCGATTGAAAATTAGGGTGGTTTTTCGATATTAAATCAAAATAAGGGGGAAAAATAAATATTTTGAATCAAAAAAATTACAGTGAGTTTGGGACATAAATAGGTAAGTTTTCACCAAATTTCGTGAAAAAAAAACTTTTTTGTGGGAGATAAAAATAAAAAACCAAAAACTCGGTTATTTGCATTTTTCGCATAAATTTTGAGGTTATGGAAAAAAGTCTAAACACAAA